CAATTCAGAGTCGCAAAAGAAACTGAATTTGACAAAAATGAACACGAAAAATCTACTCTTTACAAAGTAATGAACGATGCAAACTGGCCTGGAGTGCACGGTCTTGGTGACGCCGCTAGGGTCAGTATGGGCTGACTACGGTCCAGCCACCGCCCCGTCTACTTCGATTATGCATGATTCCAAATTTGGATGGATTGGAATGCTACTGCTGTACATGTTAAAAGAGTGTGTGGCGGGTCCGTTCGTGTAACATGGCTCCAGTTCACATGTCTCCCGGTCGTATTCCTCTGGTTTTACCTTGGATATGATGTGTTTCGATGGAGCTGTGGGTGGTACAGTGCAAGCAACCCATGGTCACTGTGTAGGCGTAGGCGTCCTGTGGCTGTCCCCATGGAGGTCGCAGTGACAGACAAATCAGGAACCGGATACCGCCAACCAAATATATACTGTGTGCGGTTGGTTCGAGTAGAGATGTTGACAGACGGTGAATCGATTCTGCTCGGACCATAAGCTTCTTTACGGACACGCCAATAACTTTCGTCAAGTGCAACGCGGGGTCCCGCCACTGGCATTCGATGGGAAGTCGTCCAATACATATGGTCTAATATTCATCTACTTTCATGGAATACCAGACTTGAATGCTATTCCTATTTCTATCACTCCACCATCAGGTTTAATTTGCGTCACTTTCACTGCGTGTACAGGGCTAAAAGAGCTGTTGCCCTTGCTCTCATACAGCTCTTTTAGAGCGGATAGCATTCATCCGAAAGCTCTGCAGGTAACAACCGTGCACCTAATCGAATCGCCTACTAGATTCTTTCAGCGCTATCTAGACGAGAATATAGTTACGTCAAAGTGGAAACCACTGTTCACAAGGGGAGTCAATCTGAACTTGCTAATTATCACTCGGCGACGCTTCTCCTATGTTCACCAAGGTCATAGAAGCGGTCATTGCGGACGCACCGATTGGTTACCTAGAGAGCAACGATAGCATCGCGATGGAGCGGCAAGAGTTTCGTAAACATCGTACATATGCTGCGTATCTGCTGATAGCACGCGAAATTGGATCACGACAGTGGACGCGAAGACACGGATCGATGTTGCCTACCCAAAATTTTCAAGAACGCTCTATCATTTGAATCATCGTATTCTGCTTCGCAAGGTCTTGAAATATAGGGTTGGAGATCCAGTACCGGTCTGGATCAGTGACCCTGCGTGAACGACAATTGGAGTTTATATTCAAAACATCTGTGCCCTACAGAATTTGTGTCGGGTGTGGTGTACTGCAGGATTCGGTCCTTGGACCTCTTCTATTCATAATTCCATTAGCAATCTAACGAGTCATCACTTCAAAGCTCTTATTCTTTGCGAGCTAGGTTAGAATTTAGCGGGTGAATAATCTCCTCCAGCAGGAACTTGATGAAATCTCAATTCATTCAATGTAGACAAGTACCGGGTTGTTCACATCCGCCACCGACACGCTTAAATCTACAAGTTTTATGCGCACGATCTGCAGACCGTCTCACAGGAACGGCACCTCGATGTACTCCCATAGGACGACCTCTGTTGTTCCAGGTAAAGGTAATCAGCATGTTGATCTCTTACGGAGGGTACTCGGGAATTTAGATTCATCGATTTTCTCCATCATGCTCAATGCTTAACTGCGTCTCCACATCGAGTACGCTATTCAGGTTTGTCAACCATAGCTAAAACGTATTTTTGCAGCATTCAGGATTCCTCAACGTCGGACAATGAACAATATCAAGAGTTTACGACAACTCGCAACACGACTAAGCTACTTGGTGCTATATACAACAGCTCACTGCTAGTTTGGACGTTATTATCGCCCAGAGGAGAGGGTGCCCTTATGCAACGAATTCCTAGCCCTCGCAGCTGATCAACATACGGCATTATTCGCAATCTGGGCTGCATATCGACTGTAAGGAAGTAGTTTGGGAATTTGAATTGCTTGCGTTGCGTTTGTTAATGCAGCCATTAAACGTATGGAAAAGTACTGGATGGTCTTTTACTCATTTCAAGGATTATCAGTAGGACAGGCGGCTGTCATGTCCTTTGCAAATCAGAGGATGACCGCTCCATATCACACTTCAATGGAAAGCACGGTCCACATTGAGATTGCGCGTGGCAACCCGTTCACACAACAATTGCTTCAAAATGGCTATCTAATCAGTTACTGATCGTTGTGACAACCGTTGCACGTCGTGTCGCGGTAGCCAAAGGGGTAGAGTTTCGGCCAACATTCTAATGGTCCCGGATTCGATTACCTGCTGTCTCTACCTGATGAGATCAAAAGAGTTCGAAACCGGTCGTGCAGTGCATCTGTCTCATCAGTTACGGTCCCAATGATCGATTTGACCGGGGTTCACTTAGATGCGAATCGCGGTCCACATTTAGGTCACAAGTCGCAATCCGTTCGCGCTAATAATGTTTCAAAATAACCCCCCCCCAATATTCGATTAAGTTCGGCTCATTCAAGATGAAAGTCTTTCCAAAAAGTATTCTTTGCTCCTTATCTGCCCCTTACTTTGATTCCCGGAAAGATGATACAAACACCCAGTGCTTCTCCGGATGTGTTGCTTGTCAGTTTATAAATGCGATGTAATCAACCATTGCCATTTAAACCTCCCTTCCGCTTCCTTATGAATTGTGAAACGTTATGGACTACTCGTAAGTGCTCAGTGAAATCAGAGAGTATCTCATCTGATTACTCTAAAAGCCCAGTTTGTGTTGCTAAATTCTGACTCTCTGACCCAAGAATTCCGGCAATCCCAGCGGATATGTGTGATGTTTTGTGTGCACCGTTTTTTGCTACTAAATTTTGTCCCCAATGCCTTCAACACATGGTGGATTGTCTATGTGACATATCAGATCGCTGGTCCTCATTGAAATGTGCTGCTTATCCTACCAGTCTAACACTGATCTTATCCATCAAGGTCCCAAAGACATGCATACGATTTATTTTATCCACGTTCGTGTTGAGTTGCTTGTTTACTCCTTTTTAGCTGGTGGGAATTGCTTTTTTCGTTGGATTTCTCTGTGTTTCATGAATAGTGCTTTCAGCATATACACTGCGATGGACATGTGCCCACCGCAATCTGCTTCCTTCTCAAACCATGACGTTGACTAGAATCGAATTACTATTATCAGCTATCAGACTAGTCTCTTGTGCTCACTGGGGCGTTGCAATTTACTCGATTCTCATGCTTCTGAGGCGACGAATGAAATCACCCTAGTTAGGCTTCATTCACTCGCGGTGATCACAGCTGCTGACTTGGCGACGGGAAATGAAGCTATCATGTGCTAGCTTGGGTACTGTTGATCCATCTTGCTTTCATCACAAGTATTCATACAATCCACTCCGTGCTCTTCTCCAAATCTCATTGTGCAATGTTTGTAACAGACACCAGTGGCACGTTTATACCCTCTTAGTCAGATTGTTGAATTATCCGGGCATTAAAATCACTTGGAAATTGCTTCATCAATGCTACATTATCTCCACACAATATACAGTCGTTTGTGACCATCTGTTGCTCGGGTATATATTCCCTTATCCTTGTCGCTGGTTTAAGGCACGTAAGTTTTGTCCTATGGTCTTCTTTTTTCCTCATCGCGCTTCTCGCTAGCAAAATAACAATGATTGTACTATAGTGGGATGGCAGTATGAAGTACTGATGAATTGCTGTTTTGTTGAACTTTCTATCTGCCGATCGTCACTGCCATCAAATTTCACCGGAATCCTTCCTCCTGACATTACTTGTGTGTAGGTCTCACTTTCATTGCCTGATTGTTGTCCAATTTGCTTGTTCCTTGATAGCGACCCTTCCGTATTTCATGTTTACTGAACTCTTCAGCGAGACTCCTGTCCTTTTTCTCTTCTCTCTGCCGTTGTACATCATAAATTGTCAGATCGTTTGCTCGTTTTTGTTTAATCTCGGCCATGTATGTCAGCACGGAGCTACATCTGGCGTTTTTCATCTCACATGCATACCGCTGCTTGAGCTACCCGCACACACACTAGGTTATAACCCCGATTTCTTCTCTCATTCATCGATGGAACATGTGCAGACTGAGCAGTCAACCGGTCCGCTGATTTTACGAGAGGCCTATTACCGTTTTCCAGACCATTGCGGGGTCCGTTTTAACCGAAAGTCCCATCCGTGCCAAAATGATCACATCGGCTTACCGATTGGTCACTGGTTAGTTACAGTCAGTTATCCATTCGAAAGTGCTTCGAAAGTGCACTTGTGCTGTCCCTCACCCGCGGAGAGTGTATTAAGATCATAAAGTATTATCCGCACACTGATAGTCCGCTAGTTTCATAGTCAGATTCCTTTTTATCCCGTCCTCCGTTTCCATTAGTTTATGTTGAATCTGCAGTGTGTTCCACTGGGCCACCGATCCTTTTTATATGTGCGACCCACGCAATTATTAGTGCAACTCCGCTCAAGTACATCGGTTTATTTATTGTCCACATCTGCAATAGGATTCGCTAGGGCCTTTGTTTGTTCTCGGCTCATCGGCATTATACCTCTTTCTCTGCAATTCTGCGTTCCTGTACCGTTTGATCTGTCCCCATTGTGCCAGTTAACTAGCCTAGGACGGACTCTAGGAACAAGCTGCTTTTTTCGTTTTTCTTTTTTGTTTTTTTGTTTTCTTATCTCTATGGAACCCACGTCCAGCCTCCATCTTCGATCGGTCAAACGTCAACCTGTGTTGTTTAATCGATCGCTGTTGTTTTGTATTCGGGGTTCTTACTGGCTGTATCAGGCTAAATTTGAACTTTGTATGCTTTTAAATTTTGTGACTCGGACATCCCTGCTCTAGTAACCTTCTCATAACTGTTTTGCTACACGAATAAGACAGTTTAACGGACGTTTATCGTTTCTTCGATTAGTATTGCTTTTTATGTCTCAGTTGTATCACTCCGTGTGTTTTTGGTCAATTCTTTCCATGTTCCTTTCGCACAATCTACCATTTAGACGCTTGGCCCGCATCCCCAAACCACTGCTTCTGCTGGTTACGACTTCGACTGGATCCATAGACATCCGGAAGACGACCAGCTCGTGATAGGTGGCAATTCCGAGCAATTATCCGAACCGCCAGACTCCCCGATCGGTATCGGGGATGACGATGACGATGATGACCTGGACCACTTACCACCTTATGCTGGTGTTTTTACCCAAGTGAGTGTGGCAAACTATGTTTTGAATTTTGCGCTTTCCTGTTACGCGCATCTGTGTGTGGCGTTCAATTTGTGCCTCTGTTTCACTTGACAGTGAATAGTTGCCATCGTTATCGTCCAACCGATTCGTCTACTCAATACATCAACCACTACTTAGTTTTGAGTGCGGAATACTGTTAATTTGGGCCGTTCGTGGTCACTACCACACATCCTCACCCATTCACAAAGGTATGTAAGCGCTCTGTACTAGCGCAATATACGGTGGTGCAGTCACTTGTAGAATGAGTCAAACCAGTTTCGATTCAGTATAGTTACAATTGAAGCCCTCACCTCGTTAGCACGCGGATCTAGGTGCTGTTCTTCGCTCACATTTTATGACGCATCATGGTTTTTCTACCTGCTTCTAACCCATTAATATACTTGAATTCTCGTCGTTCAACAAGTAGTTGACATCCATTGGCAATCAAACCCATTTCTATCCCACGTTTCCGTGTGTCCACCCATCGGTTCCTCCTTTTTTCGGTCAACCCTGTAGCGTTCATACAGAGGGTATAACTGCCGTTTTCCGGCCGGTGGCCGAGTGGTCTGCACGTTTGCTTTGCAACCATAAGGTCACCGGTTCGAATCCGCGTAGGGGTGGGCGTCCTCGCGTATACTCAGCCCGCGCGCGACTGGTGGTGGTTGCGCGGCAGCGAAGCCGCCGTTACGACGTACAGCTGACACAGTTCCGGGAGAATTATTCTACTCAAATTTTCTTATCGTAGTGATATCTCTTAATGCATTCAGTGTGTCGTTTTTGCTAACTTTTGTTTTTTTTTGTTGAGGGTTCGTCGCAGCCAGTTCCAAATCAAATATTCGTCCACATGCCTGGAAAAGCACTAGACTGCAGCTTCACCCTGTTGGGCATCATCATTAGTGCGCATCCATCGGATCCCTTAGGATTCGAACCCATGACCACCAGCGGCTTGCATCGCTACTCAGCAACTTATGCCATTGGGCCAGGGGGGACAGCTTCGGATCGTCATGATTTGCAAGCTAACTGCGATATAGCGCGTCTTATCCTTCTGATGGATCCGCTAGATGCGCACTACTGATGATGCCTAAAAGGCTGAAACTGCAGTCTAGTGCTTTTCTGGGCATGTGGACGACTATCTGATTTGGAACTGGCTGCGACGAACCCACAATTCTCTATATCAAAATCCCCTACTCATGAATACATCTTGTTTTTTGCCTCCTATTTTCCCGGCCTATTGATTACACCTTGTGATTCGTTGCGGGTTAAGCTTGTTGTGAAAAAGGGAGGATGCACTTTCTGATTCGTCTCAAGTCTCCTCTGATGTATAGTATTGTTTTCCTACTTAAACGAATGGCTAACGCCTTGTTTGTGTGTTTGCACAGACCATGGCTGTTGGTTATTCTACCTAGTTCTCGACAACTTAGTACCACGAAAATCAAATGATGATTGCTGTTTGTGTGTCTGCTGTGTGTGTTGCTTCTTCAGGGTGATCCGTTATGTCTTCCGTTTAGGAGTTCGTACTCCCGCCAGTACTGTCCCGTTCGATGTTTAAAACTTTTCAGAGTACTTTGAAAAGCCTCATTGTTTTTTCTTCCCCTGGCATTTAGTTCGTCTCTGAATCTCCTTTTCTCCTATCCAAACCCTATCTGAGCGATCCGCATCAAGTGTTTGTCTTGTATTTTTCAAGTCAATGTACTGGTTTTTGTATTACATCTTTCCACACTTCTCTGATAATTAGCACTCAACTGGAGTATTCGCAATCGGCTTTTCTGAAGTTTTGAGCAATCGCTTTCCGGAATTCTCGCGATTCCGGTCAGTGCTCCGTGCATGCCCTATATTGGCTTTCATGGAAGATCATTTTGGATCTTCAGTTGCAGTACTGAGAGCTTGAGGACGAAGGCACGATATCGGCTTGTGAACCATTTCTTTCGTGAGCTTCTTTATCAGGGAATCCTCCGCTTCATTGGCATCCCTTTGACGGGATTAAGGCAGCCCAACATTAGTGACAGTGTATGTGCTATCTTCCGCGTCTACTGTGCGCTACCCTTTGCTCTCAAATCACTTAAATGAACATAAAATGGCTAGTGCCTAGGGCACATTCGTGGCCCCAGTAATTTTTTCGAAAGGCATATCGCACTGAGGGAACATTAACTACCGTGGACTGTCTCCACACCGCGCGCCCATACGGATACGAGGATCGTAACCCTTTTATGCGGGCCATTGGAAGTGGTTTACTTCGTTAAAGTCACCGGTATAGTGAGTCCCTTCAATAATCCAAATACTACCGATTTATTATTCTCTCTATTTTCAGGATATTAACACTCAGGTAGACAATGCCGTTATGGACGGAATAGATTTAGTCGCTCAGCCACGCAAAATAGCACGTATTGAAATTGGCTACGCCCGAACCGCCAAAATGATCAATGTGCACCGTCTAAAAGCCGTAATGTGGGACTTTTTGGAGGCTTCATTCTCCCCAACCTCACCTAATCCCGCACAGTCACCTCCGACATCTACTGGCGAGTCATCTTCACAACCGCAGAAGACTGTCACCTTCAGCTCTCTAGTTGCCACTCTACCTGACCGCCTCAGTTGGCAGATGGTGAAGGAGCTCAGTGTTCCCATCGCCCTCAATTGTTTGCTCCACTTGGCTAATGAAAAGGTTAGACTTTTTTCATGTTACAGGTCATCCGTCTATCTTCGTCTTCATGCATTCGTCTGCTTTGCATATGTCTACCTAGTTAGTAGCACCAGGTATGAAGCCACCAGTGACGATTTCACCTTCCCGTCTAGCTACTATTACTTTCCACGCAAACTTTTATACTTATCTGTTTGCATCATTTTCATACTTCATTCTCCCCTTTTATTGATTACTCCTACTTATCTGGTGACGTGATGGAAAAGCGCGTCGTCGCCGCATCTGTGCAGATCCTCGTGTTCAGTCTCGGTCAGCAATCCTAACTACTTTCAAACGCACAAGTAGTGTAACAAAAAATCAGACTCATTGATGGTACGCTGTAGATCTATGTTTTGATGTTTTAGTATGATTACGCAGCTGCTTTAACGGATCAAATTGCGAGTGGGCGACTGAACTCGTTTCACTCTGTGTCATCTCCCCAAAAAATCTAGTGGTTCTCCCCGGTTGCCGCTGTCTGTGTCTCTCCTGTTATTTCTCGTCTGACATTTTACCCAACCGCTACACCGTTTGTGAGAACCTACTTCCATGACTGTCCACCTAAGTGTTGTCCTTTGATAAATTCTATTTGATGAACAATCTGTATTTGGAGGGTCAAGTTTGGACTACACGTTGTGTGATTGGATTGCGACACGCAACCTCAATGTAATGGACAGTGATTCACATTGAAATGAACCTTAGTCACTGCGATCACTGGGACCGTATTCAAAGTAGATGGAAATTGGGTGTTGCCCACCAGAAAACACTGCACAACCACGACGCGTTTCGATGTAATTTCATCTCATCAGGTGGAGACAGCAGGCCTCGATCCCGCGACCATTGGAATAGTAGCCCACACCAATACCCCTTTGGCTACCGGGTCACGGTGGGCAACGTTTTTTGTCACAACGGTAAATGACTAATTGGAGGGTCAAGTTTGGACTGAGATGAAATTACATCGAAACGCGTCGTGGTTGTGCAGTGTTTTCTGGTGGGCAACACCCAATTTCCATCTAATCTGTATTTGGCTTCTGCACGATTCCATGTACTATCAGAACAGCCCACACGTAACGGTGCATTATCGAATCTTTGAACCCGAAGTGAAAATATGGTGCTCATTTGTTATGCATAGTCATTGAAACTCATTTAATGGGCGGTGATTATGCAAGCTGTTTTGTGTTTGAGGAGTGTGATGGGCGATGTCTTGATCATCCTTATTCCGAACTTATTTGTAATGTTATCACCGCACGGAACCACAACGGTTCACAATGCGACAATTTTCAAGTTCTAATCATTGTGATGTTATTCCTTACCATATCTACCCATTTGGTCACTTTTATCCCTCGTCCATAGTAATTCGTTTTCTAGCCCCGTCACCGGTTTTCCTATCATTCTGTTTTTCTCGCTCTCCACCAGGACATGTTTTTTATGTGCACCGAGAACCTGACGGATGTTCTTATATCCCGGGGCCTCCCCGATTCAGAGCTTGAGGCACTCGAATCCTACCGACTGAGCTCTGAGTCCAACGAGACGGATCTCCCTCCCAGTAAGGCATCCAGAACTGAAGGCAACCGGAGTAAAAAGCACAAACGTCCGCGTAGTTCCACTCTGGATTCTTGGTTGGCTGATTCTGATCCCAGTGTACAAACTCCCTGTTAGCGCGTTCGCTTAAACGTTATGTTGAGATTGTAATGCATTTATCTTCATCTTTGTTCTTTATCTTGCAACTTATTTCGGTGTGATGAGTCTTTTCCGTCTTAATCCCTGTATTGATGCCTGTCAGCAGAACCACATGTATTTTTATACAGTTCCCCGTCCAATAAAGCAGAATACACTCTGCACGTCTACCGAAATTGGTTCTACAGAACAATCTCTCCTTTAATTGCTCTTATCTTTCGACTTGTTTTCACTCGTTCACCGCCTCCTAGCAGGTGTAGTGTCGTGTTCGCGATGTGTCGTTCAAGATCTAGCGTTCACTACTCCCTCAATAAATCATTTCACTCTTCTGAACCAATCCCTTTACTCCTCAGAGTTTCTAATCAATTAGATCCAGAGCAAGGCCTTGTAACTTGTCCAACAGTGGACATCCATCATGCTGCACTTCTTTGCAGCGGTTATCATTCCATCTCTGAGATTCGCTTAGGCAGTATAGAGTGGCTCTTTCTACGCCCACTGACACTGTTTTACTTTTGCAAAAATTCCACTCCATCTCGTTTCCCCCCTATCACTCGTGGCCTACACGGATTTGGATCACCGTCTTGTCTCCCATCGGTTTCGTCTGTTCGATGTCGATCCTTCAGCAAAATACAACTCTCATCTTTCCTCATCGCTTTCTCTCCATCGGGGTGCGTATTGGCTTGCCCGACATGCTCCGTAGCACACACACAGTCGCTTCCGGTTGACCAGCTGTCTATCTGGTCGTAGGATTCTTGTCGACTTCTTTGTTCTCAGCCGCACAGATATTCGAACTTTGTGTGTCCATAAAATGGATGCAGCCCTTTCGTATGCAAGTCACAAGGTGAGCAGGCTTATCAGTCTTCGGCTCTAAAATCCGCGTATGGGATTGTTGTTGGCGGTAACGGACCTTGTCTTGGTTTAGGATAAACCTGAGTGACGTTCGTGTGCACCACAAGAAGTTGCCGTTGGTGTTTTTCTTTCTGTTTTCCCAATTATCCCCCTAATAACCATGTTCCTACTAGTTACTTGCTATACACTAATACGACCTGCGATATCAAAGCCACAAGACTGTACTTATTCCATTTCATTAATGTATTATTATCCGAACACCGTATTGTGGTTTATCTAGCCGCAACAACCGAGTCGCCGCATTTACTTCATCGCCAACAATCGAGATCCAGGGGAGACCGAAGCATAAGCATAAATGCAAGGTTTCAAGAAGCGATGTGTACTTCTTAGACGGATAACCTAACAGACCACTTGAACGGGCGTGGTTGCTTTCTGGAAAACATATTGTCATAACGAGTCGCTAAACAGCTAAGGGTTCGGGTCCATGGCTCATCCAAGACAGGTACATCTATCTGCGCGACTAAATTCCTCCTCCGGCTTCTCCCACTACTTCTCTGCGCGCTATCTCATAACGACTTAGAGTTCCACCCATCCAGGTTTTCTATTGGGAAGGGATACACACATAGGCAGGGAGTCTATAGTCGTCTGGAGCTGCACTTGACCACTCCCAATCGTACTGATTTTCACGTCACTGATTTTTGCCACTTGCTTTACTGTGTATCCTGCAGCTCATGGTCACATGCCACCTCAGTTACCTCGGAGAATCATTTTTCGTGCTTCAGTCCAATTCATTGAAATCAACGACATCCATTCGCTCTTTGATAGTCTTCACTACGTAGTGATTTTACTCGGCTTTTTATCCATTCATTAGCGATGTACCACATCCCACCTCGCCCTTATAGTACTGTCTGGTGGACTTAGAGTGGTGGGTAACCTTGGCGCGCGTCAAGACATGATCATAATCTAGGCATTTGCATTAAGTTCACGGACGGTCTCTTGCAGGTTATCGCGAATTAAACTTTGACGTCTATTGGGTGCACTGATCGGAATATATTCGTTCGAATCAATGATCACATTTCAGAGTGGCTCTGCGAAGCGATGTAGCATGCGACGGTTGTATCCGGTAAATTGAGAAGCAAAGTTGCCTCCGCAATTACGATGCATTTGATGAGGACCGGTCACCAGGTAAACCCGGATAAGTCATTCACAGTCCTCATACGCAGTCAAAGGCCTCACCTACTCAAGGCCATTGTTATCTTTCGACAGCGCCCACCACTGTGTCCAGAAACAGCTGACAGTGACACTAGGTCTACCGTGGTAGTGTACAACGCACCAATCAGAAAACAGTTGACCATTAATTGGTTTCATCTGTCATTGTTTTACATCCCTTATGAGTTACATTTATGTGGCCGACGAGTATGTACGAAATCAGAGTGTCCTCCCGCAATCATCATCTACTGCTATTCTTATTTGGAACTAGCTGTACCCGGTCACGCATTGTTATGGCTCAGTGCGGTTGGCTGTAACAAAAAGAAAAGCAAAATTTCACCTTCATTTTAGATGTAGTTGCACAATACTTGTGGGTGTACAATGTTTTCTCTTGTTCCGTTCTCTGTGTAGATATTGAGATTGTCAGGTTTTTCGACTCCAAAACACGCAACTTACCTAAATCTAAGTCGCACACTTCAAAAGATTGGCTCTGAGCTTTGCTGATTGTGATTGCCAATGCCAAACGAATAGGTCATTGCATTCTCTTCAAGTGAAATGGCGTATCAGTAGAAGTCATCGGAATACGAGGAATGAGGACATTTTTACATTTGAAAGATCCGGTCAGCATTGTTGCATGTACGATGTTGTTGAGTAACCCCTTTACTGCAAACTGCGTGTCGTTGCAAAGCCTTGGTTGGTTGATATTCCGCAACATGATAATTGGTGTGCCGTTTTTCAATTCCATCACGTGCCGTGAAATCTCTGGCAGATAGAGGGAATTCAAAAATTCTTTTGGATAACTAACCGTTTCATCTGCTTCCAACCCAGTGTCGACAGACTTATATGCGACTGTCTTAGAATGATGCAGAGTGGATATATATTTCGTGTCAACTCTTAGTTGCCTGCTTTCGTTTTGCTACCGTTGTGTCTTGGCACTTGTTTAAACGCATCAATTCTTCGCTTTGATTGGCCGACCCACGTCGTTCGAAGTGGATATCATCTTGGGAATCTATTTCCGCTAATGCCGTTCCTTCGAATTCATCTGATTGGTTCTTCGTTTTACACTTCTTACTTGCCTGTATTATTCTTTTGTTCCTATGCTGTTGGTTGGCCCCAACTTGTTTCAGTAGCTTTGCTTCACCCTGTTAGGTCTCGAAGGACATACTCCGAGGAAAATTTCACTGTCTGAGAAGCAAGTCGAGTTGGCGTCACTGATTCAGACCGAATCTTGTAACTTGCGTGGAAAAACAGGATTCCACACAGATCAAAGTCAGATGCACACAGAAACGAAACAAATTGACTTGTTTTGAAAGGTAAATGCGCAATTTCCCACAAGCAACTGTGTTTTGTATCAGAACCTCCTCAGCTACCATCAACCCAATGTTTTTCCGTGTCGCAGAACGTTTGTTGTTGTCGTTTGTTTCACGCCACTCACATGTTCCTTGATCGTTTGAGACCTATAAAATCAACCGAGCGCCCAACTGTGATGTGAACTGTATTGGTGTGTTTTCGTCCCATGTCGGCCTGTTTTGTGTTCGCCAATATACTACTCTTCCGGTGGTTTGGCCCGCGAGGTGCAACCTAGCGGTTGCCATGTCGTAACTCTGAGGATACAACAGATTCTGGCGACCGAGGTGTTGGGCAATAATGATTATTTCATTTGTTCAGCAGCAGTCTTTCCATCAACAGCAGTTACAGTTTGAGGAATCCCAGAAGCAATTGTTCGCGTTATTTGCACAGAAGCTGAAAATTCGACCTGCGCCCCAAAATGCTGGGACATGGACTTCAGCGGACGCAGTCCCAGCAGCACAGAGTTCGTTTTCGATGAATTGAATGGAGTAATTTTTGATTCCTGGTTCAAGAAATATGCAGCTATTTTCCGTGTTGAGTCGGCGGCGCAAGATGATGCATGGAAAGTTCGGTTGTTGCTTAGTAACCTCGATGCAATCGAGCATGAACTGTACACCAATTTTGTGCTACTAACGAATCCGATAGACTTCCGCTTCGATGAGACTGTGGCAACTCTCACGTTGATTTTCGGTGAGCAAGCATCTTTGTTCAGTATCCGTTCCAACTGTTTAAAGTTACTCAAACGTGATAACCATCGTTTTATAACACATGCTGAACTTGCGAACCGAGTGTGTGAGTGTTCCAAATTTGGTACGATGACACCTAATCAGTTCAAAAGTCATATTTGTTTGCATTCTTCAATCTCATGCCGATGCTGATGTACGCACACGCATCCTACACAAGTTAGAGCAGGAACCCCATTACAGGACATCGCTACGGAATGTCAGAAACTGATTAACTTAAAGCATGATACCAAAATGATTGAAAATGCTGTCCCCAGGAGTGAACCGCAAATTTACCGCACGGCTGTTGGAGGTAAAAATGTGGGCCTTAGAGCACCCAACTAAAAACCTCCGACCTCATGCTGGAACTGTGGTGGATGGCATTTCGTGCGATTCTGTACTTACAAGAAGCATCTCTGTCCGAAGTGCAAACGTCTGGGTCACAAACAATCACACTGTCGCACAGCGTACGATTCCAAGACTGCGTCCACCCCAAATTGTACGCAAACTCTAAATCCAAAAAGACGTTGTTTCAGGGAGCAAAGACAAAATTAGTTCTCGCGACCTGTCGCACAGAATTTGCGGGCAAGCGAAGGTACCTCACCGTCAAAATTAACGATGTCCCCATATCCTTTCAGCTGCATACGGCATCTGACATTACCATCATTTCTCGATCGTCATGTATGAGACCTCCACTGAGGCACACAAATCTGATCGCCCAAAATGCATCCGGCGTACCACAGGTTAGTTGGTGAGTTTACATGTGAAATTAAATTCAATGATCTGAACCTTCGTGGAACTATCTACTTAGTTTCTTGTGTCGATATTAATCTTCTTGGGATTGATTGGATTGAGAGATTGAATTTGCTCAATATACCATTGAGTCATGTGTTCTGAAACGAGCGTCATGGTGCATCATGCAGTCATACCAATTCACCCAAGTCAAACCATTGCTTTACAGCTTCAGGCAAGGTATACTTGTGTTTTCCAACCTGAACTTGAACATTGTAGCAAGATGCAGGCAAAGCTTACTCTGTTACCTGTGTTTCGACCCTGTCACCCGCTTCCTTATGCATCACAATTGCTTGTTGAACAGGAGCCTGACCGATTGCAGCAAATTGGCGTGATCCAACCAATAAATTTCTCACCATGGGCTACCCCTATCGTCGTGAATAAGAAGTCGTACGGTCCTATTCGCTTGTGTGCAGATTTTTCAGCTGGTCTGAATGATGTACTGCAACCCCATCAATACCCACTTCCACTTCCTGACGACCTGTTTGCGAAGCTGAATGGTGGTAAATATTTTACTACCTTGGATCTGGCGGATGCTTATTTGCAGCTAGAAGTTGAACCTGAAAGCAGTAAGCTTCTCACGATCAACACTCATCGTGGTCTGTACCAATGCAATCGTCTACCATTTGGAGTTAAAACCGCGTCCCCCAATTTTTCAACAAGTCATGCATGCCATGCTCTGGAGTAACTGGAGCTGCAGTCTATCTGGATGATATCACAAT